TAAAGTTACTATGACAACAAAAAAACTTCTTTCTTGACTGGCAGGCATTTCAGCTCTCACTCCTGCTTTTCATTATGAGATAAAATAGTAACTATTTAAGCTCCCCCACCCCGCAATGTTTACTTATACCCTGCCTTTCTCCGGGAGACTCAAGGTGGATTACAAAATATTTTTAAAAATGCAATAAGAAAACACAAGAGATCTAGGAAATGGTGCAATAGGAGCAGGGTAACAAAATTAGAAAACAATGGAAACAATAAGACATGACATACCAGAAAGGCCGAAGACAATGTAGTAAAAGAAGATACATACAATACACAGTGCAATCAATTATAATCCTCTTTCCTTATAAAATCACCCTTCTGAACCATTCCATTATTCTACAGCTCTATTCTGATATTAGGTGGGGGGGATAACTGGGTGTGATGACTATGAAATGTGGAGTTCCAATGCCAAACCTCAGAGCTACTAGCTCCTCAGCTTAATTGGAATGCTACATAAATCACTATCTTTGGATGCTGCCACTCACAAGCTAAGCTCTGCACAAACCTTAAGAGAGGAATTAAAGACTTTAGTGACATGCATCTTTTGGCAACACCACCAATTATTATTTATCCCTTTGGCAAATTGGGGGGGGGGACGGACCCACAGGACTGTGTCTGCCAGTACGATGATATTTCTGTATTGTTCAAGAATTGTGCTATTCCTCCCTCCACATACATATGTACAGAGAAAATCACGTCTTTTTCATTAGGAGGATCAAATTCCACTGACATTTCAGGAGGTCTGACAAGTTCTCATCTGTTGTGTTTTCCCATCACTCCTTACCTCACTAACAGAACTTAAACTGGCTGTCAGAATTGTTTCCTGGAGAGGGGTAACTCTTCTTGCATAGGGCAGAAAGAAGCAACCAGGTGTGCAACCCCCTCCCATCTCCTTTCCTAGAAGTGGGCATTTGCTTCTGTTGAAAGCAATGGTATAGGGTGGTAAATCTCCCAGAAAATTTTTCCAATGGTATATTTTTCCATAGAAAATTTTCCACCCCACATATGTAAATATAGTCTGTTTACATTTGTCAGAGCTGTTGTACTGAAAAGCAATTATGCTAGGTGGGCTAAATGTGGAATATGAAGCATGGACAAACCTCAGTAGTTGTGCATGGTCCAGGCTTGTACATGATGGTATCTGCCTTCTTTTGCTAACGTTATTTCAAATTTGCTAACATCCTTTAAAAGGTTATCTTAAGTCGGAAGTGACGTGACAGCACTTAACACATGCAACATTCTTTAAATATTTAAATTATTTATTTAAATTCAAATCATGGGTTCATTTTGTGAGTGCAACAACTATTAGTGCAACTACACACACTTGTGACCTTTAACCTAAGGTGGAAAAAACTGCATGCAAAGTTGTAGGATAGGTACACTGTGGTGCACATCCTAAATCTACACACAAACAGGGAAATGCCACTGCAACTCCAGAGAGTTGCATTCCCCCCCCCCTATTTTGGTCAAAAGGCCCAATCTGAATTGCTATCCAAATTTTACCCTTCAACTACATAAAGATATTCCTGTTCATTATCTTTCCTCCAAGATATGTCACAAGGCCAAAATAACAGCACAGTCCTAAGCAATGTCACATCCACTGACATTACTAGGTTTAAAAGGTGTCACTCTGTTTAGGACTACACCACTAGAATGTATCTAATGACAGCTGTGGAGAATGGAGGAGAAACACTTCCCAAAAAGTAACAGGTTGGCTCTAGCTCATATAGGAAACCTTTCCAATAACACTACATGTAGATGTAATTATTCAGTTGCAAGGCAACAACATTCTTCTCAGGCTCTTTTGACAAGCAGCATTTATTTTTCCCATTCGCAGCCACCCTTTTTAACTTCGCACAGGATGGCACAAGGAACATGCTTTCTGGCCATGCTCAGAGGCACACTCTTTGTGCTCACATCACATCGATCTCTTAAGGTGTAAGACACATGCATCCTGCACATGCTCGGGGGTGCCAGCTTGGTCTAAGGAATATACATACTCGGAGGCGCCAGTATGGTTTAAGGAATACAGTTTGGTCGAAGGAATTCCCATGCTCAGAGGCACCAGGTGGCGTGAGCAATACATACACTTCCCGTGCTCAGAGACACCTTTTAAAATTACTCAGCGTGTGCAAAGGCAGAGGGCGACAATAAAAAACAGGTTCAGGGGCTGAAGCCAGGCCGCCTATTGGCAAGCCCCCTCTTTTCCCCCTCAACCAAAGGGGGTTGCAGCAGCTACACTCTGGCCCTCCCGTACTAATGATATTCCTGTTCCCTCTCCTCAAGAAATCCAGCCCCCTCAGACTTGGCGAGCACCGTCCCCGCTCTCCACGGCCACAGGGCCCCCACCCTCACCAGGTCGGACAGTCAAAGAGAGGGAGGCTCCCGCCGCCACCGGCAGAGTTCGCGTTCGCCGCCATCTTGCGACTGCCCCCATTCACTGGGCGCAGGGCATGCTGGGAAGCTGGAAGACCCGGCGGAGGGGGTTGATCCCAGCATGCCTCGCACGGAGGTGGGAAGGGGGAGGGAGGAGAGGCGGCCGCGGCGGGTCGATGGCCAGGAACGCGTCTCGAGCGCGGAGTCATGGCAACACTGCAAAAAGAGCGGGAAGCCGGTAGGAAGAAGGGAGGGAGCGCTACGCTGCGCTTTTTCTGTCGTTCAGCGTTCGGTTCTGTCAGCATCGGACGCCGCCGCCATTTTGGCGGCCGGGCTGGTTGACAGCGAAGCCAACCAAGGCTTGAGATTCTGTGTAAACAGTGTTCGTTGTGAAAGAGCTTGGGAGGGTTTCGTTTTGTTTTAAAGCGTCCAATAAAGTTTAAATGCCGCTATTCAAAGTGTCCACACGCAAAAGAAGGATCTTTAACAGAAGTCCAGGAAAAGGGAAGTTTAGCTCTTAGAATCACAGAGTTGGAAGGGACCTCCGGGGTTTATCTAGTTCAACCCCCTGCACGATGCAGGAAATTCACAAATACTTCCCCTCCACACCCCCGGTGACCCCCGTTCCATGCCCAGAAGATGACAAAAATCTTTCCGGATCACTGGCCTGGAGAAAATTGCTTTCAGACCCCAATGTGGCCACCAGCATTTCCCTGGGCGTGTAAGAAAGGGCCACAAGAACTAAGCACTGATGCAACCCTTCCTGCCCTCCCTCTCATGATCTGCCTGAGTCCACAGAATCAGCATTGCTGTCAGACGGCCATGTAGCCTCTTTTTAAAACCCTACAAAGGAGGAGAGCCCACCACCTCCCGAGGAAGCCTGTTCCACTGAGGAATCACTCCGTCAGGAAGTTCTTCCTAATGCTTAGCTGAAAATTCTTGATTTAATTTCAACCCTTTGGTTCTGGTCCAACCTTCTGATTCAACGGAAAACAACTCCACATCCTCTATAATGGCAGCTCTTCAAGTACTTGAAGATGGTCATCATATCACCTCTTAGTCGCCTCCTCTCCAGGCTAAACATACCCAGCTCCTTCAACCTTGCCTTGGTCTGCAGACCCCTCTCCATCTTCATTGCCCTCCTCTGGACACGTTCCAGCTTGTCTATAACCTTCTTAAATTGGGGTCCCAAAACTGAACACTTTGTGTGATCTGGACACTATACTTCTGTTGATACAGCCCAAAATTGCATTTGCCTTTTTAGGTACCGCATCACACTGCTGACTCTTGTTCAGTGGATGGCATACTAAGACCCCTAGATCCTTTTCGCACATACTGCTGACAAGACAAGTCTCCCCCCATCCTATAATTATGCATTTGATTTTTTCTACCTAAATGCAGAACTTTACATTTACCCCTGTTAAAATTCATTTTGTTTTAGTCCCGTTTTCCAGCCTCTCCTTTCACCCAAACAGGCATCTTGTGGCACCTTAAAACACACACACACTTTAAAAAATTAGCATAAACGATTGTAGCCTGTGGCACTTTTGCTACAATACAAGCACATTAGCCTTTAAAATGCCACAAGACTCATTTTTGCCAGCATGGATTCTTGTATGCAATTACTCCAGACTGAGTTGATTGAAACCAATGGGTTCAGACCGGAGTAACTGCACAGGATTGCACTGTAACATACACAGCTACTCCTGTGCAATTCTCACACATTTCCCAAAAGGCAGAGCTGACAAATTGCCTCAGGAACACATACCACAATACATTTACCATTACAGTGCCACTGTTATTACTGTGCGGTTACTGTGCATGGCCCTGTATAAAATACAAGAGGAGATACTGCCTTAAATGATACAAAGATGACAAGTTGAGAGTTCTGTGCTCCTCCATTTTACCCTCACAATAGTGAGAACGGTCAGGCAAATAGTGAGCTGAAGGTCACCTAGTAGGGATACCAGCTTTCAGGTGGGGCCTGGGTAGCTCCCAAATTACAGCTCATCTCCAGAATGCAGAAATCAGTCCCCCTGGAGAAAATGGATGCTTTGGAGGGTGGACTCAATGCATTGTACCCCACTGAGGCCCTTGTCCTCCCCAGCCCCCACTCTCTAATCTCCAGGAACTTCCCAACCTGGCGCTGGCAACCCTACTCCCACTCCTTGCCAAGGGCCGGTGTGTGTGTGTGGGGAACCTGGCAATCTTATCACCCAGCAAGCTTCTACAGCAGAGCGGGGATCTGAAGCTGGACCTCACAGATCCATAGTCTGACCACTTCACCACTGACCCATTTAATTTCAGCTTTAATTTTGCTAGAAAATGAGGGGCTGGGCTCAAGGATCCACAGAAGAGAAGAGACATTGAAGCAAGTGGCCCAAGCCACACATTTCTACCTTACAAGCTACCCCCTGATGGAAGTTACTATATCTGTAACACTTATGACGCTACATAAAAGCATTTAATTTTCCCTTCTCCTGTCCCCTAGCTAAATTTGAACAAGCAAAAGAAGACGACAGCTTGTCACGTACTTTTAAAAATGTTTATTGATAAGTTAAATAGAAGGAATGATGGTAGTCGTAGTGCAAAGAAAGATGTGCAACTGAGGGCATCGTTCTCCCACACAGACTTTCACTTTCACAGTTTAGTAATTTACATAAGGGAAAACAGGAACAAATATAAATGAGTGTGTCAGTAGAAGGAAGTTGCAGGTTCTTGAATATAGGACCAGCAACTTGTACATCTCTTTTTTGCCAGTTACTTTGAGGAGTAGGACTGGACTGAAAGTGCTCTATTTAACAATTCCACCAGTACATCAGTTCAGTCAGACTCTCACAGCCCTGCGAGAAAGCAGCTTTCTGTTTCAAAGACTGAAATTTGGTAGCTAACCACAAAATGCATACCCCCCCTTACTATGTTATCTGTTGAAGCCATTATAGGCTTAGTGCTTTGTTTCCTACCCACAGTAGTATTTGTTCCAAGATAATCTGAAGTCACATTCATGAAATATCTCTAATGCATGTGGCTAGACGCATACACTGAGAACAGACTCAAGTGGCTCTACAGTCCATCACCAATGACAATTTCACTAGGAAACAAGACATTGGAACACACTGCTAAAATGATTCAGTGTCACCACAAACATAGCACAGGGGGAGAAAACCAGTTACCAGATATATTCTTGGTCTCAAACCCAGGTGGCCTCAATGTTTTCTACTGTAGCATTTAAGAGAAAGAGGGTTGCCTTTTCCCTTGGCAATTTAAAAGCCGAGCCCTACACAAACAATGGTACGCTTAATTTTGAGTGTCGTGAAGTTGGTCTCCCCCCCCCCCCCAAACTACCAGCTCACAATTCTGCATAAAAAGCTGCTTCTGAAACATGGTGAAGTTTCAAAAGCGACCAGCAATGGGGTGGAGGAGCTACCCTTTGAAAGAAACTCGCCTGTATGTGCCTACCTGAAGTGGCTGTCCGTATTGTGTCTAATTAATCAGTCAGAGACTTAAAATTGCTGGGTAAGTGAAAGTTTGTCCTTGTTGGAAGTAGTGCATATGCAAATCACTTATAAAAGGAGCACAGACTTAAAAAAAATCATATCTGCACATGTCAGTTAAACAAGGTCATAGACTCTTCAACACTTTACATTCGGGACTGCATTTAGTTTATATAGTACAGAAAACAAAAAAAACCACAAGATCAGTTACATAAAATAGTTTTACACAAACTGATAAATACTGTCGTCAGAGTTCACCAAGTCCAAGAACTATTTTTCTTCATGTTAGTTTTTATATAGAATAACTAGAGGAAAACTGGTTTGTGCTCCTTCGCATCTAGATCACTTTGTTTCACAGGCTTGTCTACTTATTTTCCCCTTGAGTGCTGGGGGGAAAATACCCGACAACACTGCAGTTAATCCAATTCTACTCAGGGACTTCATTTTGTTGCCTGCCAGATGACAATGCCCAGGATTAGGGAAACCACAACAAGGCCAACAATCAGGATGCAGATCTTCTTACGAGATTTTTTCTATTAAGAAGGGGAAAACAAACAAGAAAAGCCATTGACGCCAAGAAGGTAGTACCAGAATAAGAGGTTCAGTTATTAAAACATCCACAATAGGATGCACTGTACATGGGATGGATAAGAGAGAACACTGTCTCCCTCTCCCATAATATTAGAGACTTGGGAGCACCCAATGAAATTGATGGACAATAGATTCAGGGCAGACAAGAGGAAGTATTTCTTTACTCAGTGAGTAATTAAATTGTGGAGTTCATTGTCAGTGGACACAGCAAAGATGGCTTTAAAAGGGGATTAGACAGATTTATGGAGGAGACATCCATCAAATAGGTCCTAAACATGGTGACTAAAGGAAACCTCCACAGTCTGAGGAAGTAATCTGCTGAATACCAGTGTAAGGAGCAGACAACATCAAAGACTCTATGCCCTTTGTGTCAGCCCTCTGGAGCAACTGGCTGGCCACTTTTTGAAACAAGATGCTAGACCAGACAGACCACTGGTCTGATCCAACAAGGAACCTCTTGTGTTCTTATAAGAAGTATGATGCATTGGGACACTGAATGAGTAGGTATTTCTTGTTCCATCCTGATAGGATTTGTTCATCTTTAATTCAGGACCTTTGTGCCAACAAACGTCCACCAAATTGGGATACAATAATTGTAGGGTTACTATACCTCCAACCTGCAAGAAGACTATTTCAGGCCTTCTCATACACTTGAAAGTACACATAGTTCAAACAAAGAACTCTGGCGAGAGCCCCTATAAAAAAGCTAAAGGGCAGCCCATTTCAAGAGGATTCCCTAATTCTGTGTGATGGAAATGTAAAGCAATGCTCAGATGATTTGGGGGGAGTAATCTTTACTGAATCCACTAGCCCTACCCCTTGACTTCCCTCAACTGTAGCCCATCTCACCAGTTCTCATAAGCCACACCCCCCAGGACCCTACAGGATGCTGTAACAAATTAGTCCTATAGTTCTGTAACAAACTGTCAACCAGGTTTATAGAAGGCATGTGCATAACAACATAGGAAAAAAGGCTTGGGAATCTTACCCCCTTTCAGTTCACACAAAAGCTACAGAGCACATCTTTTCTGGAAGAGAACAGCAAATGTCTGCTCCCACTTCATTGTTCTCCCCTCCCTTCTTTTCAAGTGACAGTGCAGTTATTTTGGCAGCGGGGTTCACTGGGCAGGTGGGAGGTCATGCAAACGTTACCTGATAATACGAAGCTCTCTGTAGCTGTTCATTCGCATTTTCCACGTGTACCTCTGCATTCTCTATACTCGATTCTATGCTGTCTACAGGGGAGAAAAGCAGACTCTTCAGAAAGCCAGACCACAAGGAGGTCTTACCACAGAATAACCTGCATGGTCAGACTCAATGGGATGTTCAGAGATCTGCACACATAATGTCCTGTGTTGATAGTTTCAGGTGGGTTAGGAGTAGAAGAACAAGATTCATGTCTGAGTAGAAGAGCAAGACAAGTCCAGTAGCACCTTGGAGACCGAGGAGATTTCCAGGGCATGAGATTTCAAGAGTCAAAGCTTCCCTTCATCAGATATCTGACAAAGATATTTGGTCTCCCAGGTGCTACTGAACTCGAGTCTAGATAATCTCCTGTGGTTTTGCTGCTTCTCCCAGGACAACTTGCAAAATGATTCTCCCCTCCTCCGTTTCTTCCTCCCAAAAAAGGTAGGTTAGACCGAGAGGGTGTGACTGGCCCAAGGTCACCCAGCAAATTTCTGTGGCAGAGTCGGAGATGTGAACGTGGGTCTCCCAGATGCCAGTCAGGCACTCTAACCACTGTGCCACTCTGGGTACTGTAACCCAGTGGTGAAAGAACCACCACTTAGCAGTAATCATACAGAAAAGGCTTTTTGCCTGCCCCATCTCCACTTGCGCTGACACAAGAATCCTCTGCGGCTTCCTCGTTGCTCAATGGACAGAACTCCCCCCCTAGACACACACAACTTATGAAGGTGTTGGAAGGGGGACAAAATGCAGTATGAAACATTTCTGTGAACCCCTTGAATCCTGTTGAGAGTCCACTCCAAGTCCACACCCCAGAACACTGGAAATGAAGGGCCGCCGCTGAAGGGACAAACATTAACTGGCATCTCACTAACCGATCATGTCTCCTTGATCGTGGATCATCATAGCCAAATCTTTAAATATCTGGTTCACGTCCAGGATATCTGCCTGAAAAAAGGAGGAAGATGATAAAGATTTATTATACTTGTCCCCTGTGTTTAAGCATTTTGAATTGGCTGTTCTTAACATGTCTTATCAGAATGCTGACCCTCTGGCACAGTACACAATGCAACATATTGTGGGAGGACAGGAGGGGCTCACACAGGACTGGCCGAAATTGACCTCACCTTCAAAACCCAGGTGACCCTCTACACCTGTCACGCATGGGCACACATGGATACTGCCTTCTACTGAATTAGACCATAGGTCCATGAAGGTCAGTATTGTCTACTCAGACTGGCAGTGGCTCTCCAGGGTCTCAGGCAAAGGTCTTTCACATCACCTACTGCTTGGACCTTTATAACTTGAGATGCTGGGGACTGAATCTGGGACCTTCTGCATGCCACGCACTTGCTCTTTCACTGAGCCACAGCCCCTCTCATATGGTCAAGTAGCATGCATTCGGCTAAGGCTCTAAGGTCCTCACCTCTAATTGTCTGATGGCCGTTTCTCTCTCCTTAATTAGCTCAAGGTCTTGTTCTGTTATCACATCCTCTTCTTGAGACTGCATCTGATTCCACTCTTCATTGCTTTGGGAAAAGGGATACACAGGATACATAGTCTGTTCCTCCAACTCCAGCTCTACTTTTGCTTGACTGCAAGATTATTTTTTTTGCTAAGACCGTGCTACTTAAAATATCACTCAGATCCAACTTGATCATAATTCTCAACATGGGCGTGCCAGTTTCACAAGCATAGGGTCCTGCAATTGCAGAGTCTTATGCCACCAGTAACTACATGCCCTTTTGCTCCACATCAAAGAACTACCTGTCAAAGATGGGAGTTCATTAGAACTTCTTTGGAGTTCCCTTCAAAAAAAAAATCCCCTTTTATAGATATATACTTATCCTGTGTATTTATCCTCAAGTGTCTGATTGGCATGAGGAGGAGAAAGATGAGCAGATTGTCAACAAACTGCACATGGCTCAATTTAAATGATATATTTGGCTGTCTTTTATCCCTGTTCCTTTCATGGAAGTTCCCTTGTCCAGATGCCCACCCCTTGACTTCTACATCCTGCACCTGCTACCCAGAAAATATTGGAAGGGATTTTCCTTCGGTGTCTCTATAACACCTGTGTCATCTGTGCATCCAGTTTCCCAAGACTGTGGACACGATCCTGGATTGTGGATGGCAGCAAGACGATCCAATACATGTGTGCACCTTACACTCTATAAAGACATCACATACACCCTCTACCTGTGGTAAGAATTCCACCTCCAAAGGTTTTACAAATTTCAAGATACTGTTGAAACAGTCCAGAAGTCAGAAACAGCATTTACGCCCAAGCGGGACCATCTTGTTCTGAATCACATGTCAAAACCCCACATGCCACAGGAACCAGCAGTGAACACAACCAAATACTGTTGCGTTATTTTGTTATCCACCCATGTTTCCAAGACAAGTCACATGATGATGGCTTTTCCATTTCAGAGGTCAGATGAAAAGAGTCACCTTGAAGCAGCAGAAGTTACCTGTCAAATGAGACCAGCTGCTCATCCTTGTTCCTCTCCTCTGCCTGGAAAACATAATTTGGCTATCATCAGACACAGTGAGAAAGCAAGAATTGTTACTGCAGCTGAAAGGCATACGGTAGCAAGCAGGTCCTTACAGTCCCCAGCACACTGTTCTGGAACCCCATAGATTTTTAAGGAACAGAAACCTAAGTTATGGCTAGTAGGAACTGGACTAAATCAAGAAACACGCATGAAGTTGCCTTGTACTGAATCACACCCTTGGTCTATGAAGGTCAGTATTGTCTACTCAGACTGGCAGGGGCTCTCCAGGGTCTCAGGCAGAGGTTTTTCACATCAACTACTGCCTAATCTTTTTTAACTGGAGATGCTGGGGATTGAACCTGGGACCTTCTGCATGCCAAGCAGATGCTCTATCACTGAGTCACAGCCACTCCCCAAAACCCTCAAAGAGACCAAGTCTCTGATACATATCAAAGCAGAATCACTCCCTTCTTCCACCCCAGGATCGATATAATCTAGATCACTGTCGCCCACGAGCAGAAAAATCCTGCAAACGGTGTATGTTTTTCTCTGCATGAAATACACTGTAGGAAATGTAGGAAAGATTTAGCTGAAGAACTTACAGAGAGACGGGAACCAGCCCTTGCCCGGGCAACAGTTTCTTTCTCTTTCTCAGACACTCTTCTCTGCACCGCTTGGAAGTTATTTAAGGCAGCGGAAAAGTCACTCATTAAACGCTCCTTCTGAAGTTTCTGCTGGCGCTACAAGACAGAATGAGGACCGTGGTTTATTGTGGTAAAGGTAAAGGTAAAGGTTCCCTTGCTCGAAAGCCAGTCGAATCCGACTCTAGGGTTGCGGTGCTCATCTCCGTTTCAAAGCCGAAGAGCCAGCGCTGTCCGAAGACGTTTCCGTGGTCATGTGGCCAGCATGACTAAACACCTTGGCGCACGGAGCGCTGTTACCTTCCCACCGAAGTGGTACCTATTTATCTACTTGCAATTTCTTGCTTTCGAACTGCTAGGTTGGCAGGAGCTGGAACTAGAGACGGGAGCTCACTCTGTCATGCGGCAACTCGGGTCTCAAACTGCTGAACTACTGACCTTCCACAGCCTGCAGTTCAGCGTCTTAACCACTTGAGCCACCGCAGCTCCGTTTATTGTGGAGCACTCCACAATTTTAAAAAATCTGTATCCTAGAGGATGACATTAGTTTAAATCCTTCCCCATCCATTCAATGAACTATTTTTTACACACACACACCCATATAGTAAGAGACCATAATATAGTCTGCACTTCTCAAGAAGTGTGTTGTCATACTACTCTTCTTCCACCATTCTGCCTAGTGTCCCACTTGGGCCAAACCGATACAAATGGTTGAGATAAAATGGAGGACCTATTACATGGGTGCACAGGGCATTCCTTAACAAGCAAGGGATGGAAGTGAGAGGGCAGGAATGAAAACACAGCGCCCCATCCTCGTCCATCCTGGCAGCAGCATAATCCACGGACAAAAGACTCCACATTCAAATCAGCACCAGTCACTGTCGTGAGCTCCCATGCTATGCTCATCTCTTCTTCCCAGTCACCTGGAAAGAACTCCTTCTCCCCAGATCAAGAAGAAGCCTAGGTCCATGAGGTCCCTTGGACAGAGAGGGGGGTCCATAAGCCACATCTTCAGTACACATTTCTGGGTCTCTACTGCTGCTGTTCAGGAAAATCCAAGGACAGAAATGAAACAGACCAGAACAGACTAACTTATTTCTTAAAATACCTATAGCCCACCTTTCCTCTAGGCTCAAGATGGTGCTATTGGTTTTTGTTTTTTTAATGAGGTAAATTTAATGGTTTGGGGCATTTCTCCCCACCTCTACAAGTATCCCATCATTGTTAACTGATGCAGAAGTGTGGGAAATTAAGAAAGTCTGAAAGAGGTTGGGAGGGGTGCAAGTGGGAGAGGGGCAGAGATCACAGTTGTGATCAGTTGTGCTTACAAATGAGCTACAGAGCTTTCCCAGGATCCCTGATTCAGATGGCCCAAGTTAGCCCTCCCTCATCAGATCTTGGAAGCTAAACAAGGATGGCCCCGGCTAGTACTTGGATGGGAAGCCACCAAGGAAGTCCAGAGTGGCTATGCAGATGCAGGCAATGGCGAACCACCTCTATTTGTCTTTTGCCTTGAAAATCCTGTAGGGTTGCCGTAAGTCAGCTGCGACTTGACACCAGTTTCCACCATCACTTGCCTAAGAGTACCTTTTCACAGCTGACTGGCACTAAAGTTTTGTGCGGAAACAGAAAGCAGAGCAGAGCGCCCTCGTGTGCCCCTGTAGGATATTACAAAAGAAAGCTGAACCAGGATGTCTTTGGAATTATTTTTGCAGAAAGGACGTGGTCTCTTCCTCAAACTGCACTCCCACTTATTCTGCATAGAGACATCTAGAGGGCTCTACTTGGCCGTGCTTACAGGTCAATGCATTTTTTTAATGCCAAGTCACAGCTTACTTATGGCAACCCCATGGGGTTTTCAAGTCAAGAGACGTGGATAGGCGGTTTGCCATTGCCTGCCTCTGTTATCACGACCCTAATCCTTGGTGGTCTCCCTTCCAAATACTAACCGGGGCCAACCCTATTTAGCTTCTGACATCTGATGAGATTGGGCTATCCAGGTCAGGGCGTCAATGTATTTAGGACCATTTATTTCCATACCTGCAATCTTATCTCCCAACAAGTCTTACCATTTGGTACCCGATCAAGTAATTCTTGGTCTTAAAAACTCTGCCACAGACTGCATGTGTGTCAGCTGGGCAGCCCAAGATACTTCAACTGTTGTGCCTGCTTCTAGGATTTCAACCCCCTCCACAGTATTCATTATTTTATATATATTCCTCCTTTCTTTCTTCTGTGATGGACCTCAAGACAGCACACGTAGGAGGTCTCCCCTCCAAGCCCTGACTGGTTCCAGACCTGCTTAGTTTCAACGAGGTTGTTGCATCGTGCACTTTCATCTGGGAGAATGACAGAGCTTGCTCCAACTGCCAAGCTAGAGGCATACCCACCGTGGGCAGATACCAGCCTGCATTCAGGGGCACAGCAGAGATTATGCTGAGTGCTGGGAGACAGGTGGCTTGGATAAGGGTTGCCTTTGGAGCTTGGAAGGGAGATTTTCCTTTTCCTTGTTTCGTGTCCAAACAAGCACTGAAAGACTCATCAGCCATATTGTTGTTTCCTTACTTGCAACAGCAGAGACAGATGCAGAATTAACCCCCTCCCCTCAGAGCACCAAGGGAAGAGGAAGGGCAAGAGAAAGATGTGATTGACAGTCAAATTCTACTCATGGCCAAAAAACAACTAACCAAAATAATCCCCCACCCCCACCCCGTCTACAGGGCCAGCCCATGGGTTTGGGGCACCCTAGGCAGGCAACTTTGCCCTGCCCCTTGGCATCTCAGGGGAAGCCACCCCACTCCACCCAGCCTCAGGATAGCTTGGGAGTGCTTGGTGCTCCTTCAGTTCTGGGAGAGACTGGCACCCTGGGCAACTGCCTAGGTCTGCCCATTGTCAGTACATCAGATCATTTACACAGACGCAGCAGGACTCCCAGTTCTAAGTGCACCTTGTTCACACCTTGCTTTTGCTGGATATTCTGTACCATCGTCCACTAAATGAGTTTCATAGGCCGATTCCCCACAAGCAGCTGTGCCACCCTTGCTCTTCTGTTTCCCGCACTCGCATTGGTCAATTTCACACTATTCGCTGCGCAGCTGCATTTTGACCCGCAGCTCCCCCCGATTTCTCCTGTGTCTTCTCGATCTCAAAAAACAAGGAACAAAAAGATGTGGGGGAAATCGGAGGGAGCTGCGGGTCAAAATGCGGCCGCACAGCAAATAGTGTGAAATTGACCAATGCAAGCGGGGGAAACAGAAGAGCGAGGGTGGCACAGCTGCTTGTGGGGAATCGGTCATGGTCTTCCCAGATGTTTGCAAGCAACATGAATGCTGTTGAGACAAGGACAGTTTTTCTTCCGATATACACACACACAAAATATCCTAGCAAAAATACTCGCAGACCTGTTCCAGTGAAGATAAGGGGAGCGGCAGGGAGCCCAGCTCCTTCAGGTACTCATTGGTCTCCTTGGCAAGCCGGTTTGCAGTGTGCTGCAACTGTTGCCTGTGAACAAAACACACATTGTTTGCTGAATACACAAGAAGCTGCCTTATACTCAATCAGACCATCGATGTCTACTCAGACTGGCAGCAGCTCTCCAGGGTCTCAGGCAGAGGTCCTACTGCCTGGCCCCTTTAACTGGAGATACCAAGGACTGAACCTGGGACTATCTCCATGCAAAGCTGAAGCTCTGCCATTGAGCCACAGCCCCTCCCTGCTTTGGCTCCCAGGCTCTACTGCCAGAAACTTTAATCAAACAGGAATGATGCAAAAGCCAATGACATTTTTTCCTTCTCTTGTTTCTGTGCTGTACTATGATGTCCACAGGAGTGCTGTTTTGCAGGCCCAAGTCATCAATATCTCATCCTTTCGAATGACCAAGAAGGACAAGAAGATACAAGTGTGTATGTACTTGGACAGCTCTTTACAGGTTTTATCCCCCCACATTTTTTTGTTGGTGGGTTTAATCCTTCTCTGCATATTACACTGTCCCCCCCAACTGCTATTGGCTCCATGGAAGGGGGAGAACTGGCACATACTGTATTGGGGAGGGGCTGCGGCTCAGTGGAAAAGCCTCTGCTTAGCATGCAGAAGGTCCCAGGTTCAATCCCTGGCATCTCCAGTTAAAAAGGATCAGGCAGTAGGTGATGAAAGGCCTCTACCTGAGACCCTGGAGAGCTGCTGCCAGTCTGAGTAAACAATACTGATCCTAATGTTTGATTCAACCCAAGGCAGTTTTGTGTGTGTGTTCATGTGTGACACTTACAAGTATTTTGCCCATTGGGCAAACAGTAGCTTCAGGAGAAGGCATTTCAATCAGGAAAATGGTATATAGGAGAAGGGCTAAACCCTCCTCTAACATGACTTTTGTCTTCTCCCATTCACACCTTAACCATGGACCTCTTTCATTGGGATTACGACATTCCAAATTCTCAGTCTGACTTTACCATGACATACACCTTAAGGACCGCTCAGGTGGTACTTACAAGTTTTCCTGAAGCTTGCTGGAGTCTTGCTTAGTTCCCAGTTGGCTCATCAAATTCTTTATCTGAGAAGCTGCAAGGGCAGAATTGGAGACACGTTACTGCTTTCCTCTGAGCAAAACCCCCCAACAACCTGGCCATGAAAATGACACCTGACTGTCATAGCCTGAACCCGAACATGTTAGCTCCAAAAGCAGTAGCAATGGGATGTTCGGACTATGTTTTATTTTACAAAATTTATACTCTGACTTTCTGCTCTCATAAGGGCTACCAAGGATAAAGGTAAAGGTTCCCTTGCTCGAAAGCCAGTCGAATCCGACTCTAGGGTTGCGGTGCTCATCTCTGTTTCAAAGCCGAAGAGCCAGCGCTGTCCGAAGATGTTTCCATGGTCATGTGGTCGGCATGACTAAACATCAAGGCGCACGGAACGCTGTTACCTTTCCACCGAAGTGGTACCTATTTATCTACTTGCAATTTCTTGCTTTTGAACTGCTAGGTTGGCAGGAGCTGGAACTAGAGATGGGTGCTCACTCCATCATGCGGCACCCGGGTCTTGAACTGCTGAACTATAGACCTTCCACAGCCTGCAGTTCAGCGTCTTAACCACTTGAGCCACCGCAGCTCCAACCAAGGATACATTTATTTATTTATTTGTCAGATTTCTACCCTGCCCTCCCAGCCTAGTTAGTGCATTTTTATCCTGCCTTTTCTCCCTTCCTCTAGTTTATGGAATAGAGAAGGTTAGTTTGAAAATGACTGGCCCAGATTTTCCCAATAAGTGTCACGGTGAGTTGGGATTTGAACCCAAGTCTTTCCTTCAGCCTGACTACTATGCTGCCATAGCAGAATAATGTAGTTAGAATGGTATCTGTTTATATTAGTACAGTCTTATTAGTTCTGTACCTTTAAGATAGAGCATACCAGGAACTGTAGTTTTAGAAAGCTTTTAGGTCAGGTGTTCTAGATAGCCTTCCTGATTGGATTGTAATGGGTGCCTTCTGGAGTAGTTGCAAGCCTGGGAAAAGTTTTATTAGTTTTGTTCCATTCCCTTTGTTAGAGGTTTTTCTAGCACCAGCCAGATGTATAGAATCACCTCTTTTCCACCACTAGTCAAAGCAATGGACTAAAGGTCACTGTGGACAAACTCTATCAGCCATTCATCTAAGGGACATGAGTCTATTAATGTGGATGCATGAGATAGACTAAAATCTAGTTTATTGGGTATTTGACTGTGTGTTTGGATCACTCTCCTCAAGGAGGCAGTTTCCCAGGCCACTGCAGTCAGAGGATATTACTGCCCTATAGATACTTCTACAATGGGAGTTTTCCCACGCAGCACAAAGGTATCTTTCAATGAACTGGTAGCGATTCATCAGCAAGCCCACACATCACAGCAACCTATTGCTATGATTGAAGTTGTTTTTCAGTAATTTTGTTTCTATGCTTAAGAGCTACTTTTGGAAATCACTGTGCTTTCTATCCACAACGAGGGGGGAGAAAACGCAGAACAGCACAAAAGTTTATGCTTGCATTTTGGCGCCTGGTTTTAATACAGGTTTCATTGGTTAGACGGCTTTAAAAGGAGATTTGACATATTCACAGATGATCGGTCCATGAATGGCTACCAGCCACGGTGACTACAGAAAACCTCCACATCTCGGGGCAATCTTGGAAAACCAGTGCTAGGAGGCAACACCAAGGGAAGGCCTTGCCCTCTATACCCTGTTTGGTGGGCCCCGCCATCATACAGCAGGTAGGTTACACAGAGCATACCCAGAATACAAATGGCAGTTTACTGACACTGCTGGTATGGAACAGGATGCTGGACAAGATGGACCAATGGTCTGATCCAGTAGGGTGCCTATAATGTTCCTTTGTTCTGTACAAATAATCAACTATTTGAAAGGCAGAAAGGAAGCAAGGAGAGGGACAAAGGACAGAAGCTGCACCATCCACCTTTGAAGACTGTTCCGATTCAGATATCTATATAGCTCTTGAGTACATTGGTCTGTCAACAGTTATCAGAACACAGTAAGTTCTCTGGGCGATTAGCAGGTTGTTCATAAGCAGCTCCCTGACAGTCGCTGCTTGCCTTTGCCAGCTTGGGATCTCGCCTGCAGTAGCTCTGTGCCTGGCTGTGTAGTAAAACATCCCCAGGGAGAGTTGGGATGATGACACACAGCAGCAACACCTCACTTTACAGCAGACACATAAAGGACACTGGCCTGCTCACCTGTGGTGAGTACGAATTGCCTCTAGGTGATCACAGAGAGAAGCTTTACAGAAACTTGTTCCCCCCGGTCCAACAAAAATGTGTTGGATCCAAAGCTGGCCTTCTGCTCAGGGAATAGCCAGTTTGGGGTAGTGGTTAGGAGTGCAGACTCTAATCTCTGAAAACCAGGTTGGATTCCCTACTCCTCCACATGCAGCTGCTGGTGTGACCTTGCATCAGTCACAAGTTCTTTCGGAGCTGTTCTCTCAAGGGCAGTTCTCTCAGAGCTCTCTCAGCCCCTCCTACCTCACAGGGTGTTTGTTGTGGAGAGGGGAAAGAAAATGAGATTGTAAGCCGCTCTGAGACTCCTTAGGGTAGTGAAGGGTGGGGTATAAATCCAATCTCTTCTTCTTCTTGGAATTAACTGTAGGGTCAGATGGGCTAGTAAGTGGTTTTACAGGCCAGCAACCCTGACTACAAGGTTGCCTTTAAAAAATGCAGATAAAACCCAACACATCTGAGAGAGTTAAAGATACAGTCAGAAAAAAACAAAAATCAAAAGCCAACATGGTGTGACAGTTGGGGTGTCCGATCACGGTGCGGGAGACCTGTGTTCAAATTCTCCTCTGCCACAAAGCTTAACTGGTAATTCTGGACTCTCTCAGCCTAACATGCATCAAAGTTAGGTTGGAGAAAACTGGAGGAGAACAGAATCACGTATGCTACCCCAAACTCACTGCAGGAAGAGCAGGATAAAGAAATGTGACAGACAGATAGATATTTTAACTCCCAGAATAAATTGAATCAATTTCACAAGTTTTTTCATCATCTTTCACACTAGGTGTACTTGTCTGTTGTTCTGAGTATTGCTAATCTATATGGATAGGCCATTCAAAGCAAAACGGATTAGATTTATTTTTTTGGGGGGGGTCTTTTCAGATCAATCATTCTGTGAGATCGGTTATAAGATACAGGCACAGATAAGAAAAATAGGTGGGGGATACACCACATAACCGAGTCAGCACGATTCAGAAGTACGATGGACTCCAGCTGTGTGCTGAAATTGGACCAGTTTTGGTTAGCTACATCAGTGCAGGGCGGGTGTGCAAAGAAGAGGGCTAGAATTCAAGTAGCAAAGCCTTCTCCAATTTGGAGAATTCGCTTCCCAAAAAATATTCCTTACAGTTTCTTTCTTAAGGGCAGTTTTTAACATGCTGCTTGCGTAAAATGGAAAAGTCATGGGGGGAAAATACCCAGTTCCCGTAACACCACCCTGTATAGGAAGTAGAAATCAGCAAGAGTCCAATAGCACATTAAAGACTAACAAAATTTGTGGCAGGGGATGAGCTGTCGTGAGTCACTGCTCACTTCTTCACCTGTCCTTAGTTACTACATTCTGTGGAAGATCATCATTTTAAGTTAGAAACTGCTAACTTCGTTTGTGCTGAAGAATAGCGAAAGAAGGCGCTCAAGAGGGATTCCTTTCTTGTCTAGCATCTGCTGGATACAGTCGTAGTCACAGAGAGGCGAGACCTGTAAGGAATATCTGCCTAACAAGACTTAAAGTTTTTCAAAGGCTTTGAAGGGTGTCACATTGCTTACGACGGCCCTGTAAACATCTTGCCGTGAAAACAACCAATGTTGGCAAAGATCTGCTGTAGCGAGCAGGAGCTGTTATTGCCAGACTTAGAGGAAACAGCTGCCCTTCCTGAGAGCATTCGAAAGGAGGGTGGGTGGGAGAACAAGTCTTCCAACATCTATGAAGAAATTCAGCCTTGCTTGCTTATTTTGAAAATTGTGTTCTTCTAGCTCAGGGGTCCCCAACATGGTGACCATGGGCGCTATTGGTGCCCACCAACCCCTTTTGCCCAGCAAGGTTTCTGCTTGGCTGTTGGAGATTCGATTGGCCATGAGGGGTTTTTAAAAAACGCTGCTTTGCCAGCAGCTGCCACCAGAGCATGGGATCTTCTCTGTGTGACTGAAGTTAAGCTGTGGCAATCATTTTGTGGCGGGCTCTGCCTCCTGCAGCAGCAGCCATTTTGTGGCTGTGCCCACCATGCCATGTCAGAATTCCAAGGGTGCCCACAGGCTCTAAAAAGTTGGGGGGCCCATTCTAGCTGCTCTAAAACTTCAACATATATTGTTCAGCTGCTTTGTTTTTTTTAATTATACGATTTTTATTAGGTTTTCCCTATTATATATGACATTGTAGGAAAAGAAGGCCATAGGGAATGGGATAAGACATGTAGGAAAATTCCATCAAGCTTATACAATAGCTGTTACAAAGTTTCCATCTTAAATCTTTGTTTCCAGATCTCTTTCATGTATATAATTTCAAAAGCTAATATCGATTAATCAAGTCGCTAAAGTCTTCTATTACGATTCCTGGAAAAAGTACATGTTCTGCGCAGTTCAAGTTAGATTTATCCCGAGTTTATAGTGCTTATACTATTGTTCAGTTGCTTTGGATGGTGGTGGACTGCATTACTTTTCATTGCTGCTAGAACCGCTCCCCACCGAAGTAGCCTTCACATTGCTGTACTGAGGATTTTGAAGAAAAGGACCAGTCAGTAGGTAATGGTTTTCTCAGCTGCTCTTCTACCAGGCCTGTAGACAGGGTTTTCTGGTTTGTGGGGCACCTTTTTTTTTTTTGGTGAAGCAGCTATTATGCTTATAGTTATAATAATTAGCAGCAATTTGTTGCAGTTTGCAGTTCCCGGCATGGATATGGAAAGAGCCAACAGGTAGGGAGGGCAGGGCTGGTGAGATCGCGGGGTGCTGTTGATTCCAAATAAGGCTGATCAATCAAATCAACATTGGCAGGGCAGGGTGATTTAAATGGAATGGATTTAAATGGGAAAAATAGCAAATAAATATGATTTCCTTGAATGAAAAGTTGTAAGGCGTGGATGGTAAGTTGAGGGCATGGCCATGAGATACCCACCGTGGCTATGGGCTAGTCTTCTACCATGTCCACTAGACAAGGTTTTACTCATTAGTTTCTTCTTTGCCCCAGGAATTAAATTACCTAGGGGCAGGACAAGAGGGCAGAAACAGAGTGCAGCTTTGTGATTCTTTAAGGACATAAGAAGAGCTCTGCTGGATCAGACCAGGGATCCAGCTAGTCCAGCATCCTGTCTCACGCAGTGGCCAACCAGCTCCTCTGGTTCCCAACAAAGAGGGCATAGAGGCTGGGAAATACCTGGAGATTTGGGGGGTGGAGCCTTAGAAGGATGGGGTTTGAGGAGGGGCAGGACTTCAGGTGAAGAAGAAGAGTTGGTTTTATATCCTGCCCTACACTACCCAAAGGAGTCTTGGAGCGGCTTACAGTCGCCTTCCCTTCCTCTTCACAGAACAGACACCCTGTGAGGTAGGTGGGGCTGAGAGAGCTCTGAGAGGACTGAGACTGCCCCAAGATCACCCGGCTGGCTTCATGTGGAAGGGTGGGAAATCAAACCTTGTTCTCCAGACCAGAGTCCACCGCTCTTTACACCAAGCTGGCTATTGCCTGGAGAGCAACTGTAAAAGCTTTTATTTACTCATAATCCACCTTTCTTGCTGAGACTCAAGGCAGAGTACAGAGTATAAAAAACAGCGTAAAAGGAAAACAGTATAAAACATACAACAAGGAATGTAACAACTCATAGGGTTGCCAGCTCTGGAGATTAGGGTTGGAAGGGTGGGGATGTCAACAGGGTATAACACCATAGAGTGTGCCATTCAAAGCAGCCGCATTCTCTAGGGAAAGTGATTTATGTCATCTGGAGATCACTTGTAATTCCAGGAGATCTCCAGACCCCACCTGGAGGCTGGCAATCCTACTTTAGACAGTGTAGCACAAACAAGACAACATACACAACAAACAGCATGGCAAACTACGAAGCTATTATCTTTGCTACACATTGTCCTACTCTCAGTTGCTACCTGTAGGCCCCTGCCACACGGGGGGGGGGGATTGCTGCGGGCAAATGGCGGCTTTTGAAAGCCGCACCAAAAGAGACACGCGGCGGCGGGCTCACACAGATCCCCTGAGCCGCTGCGCAGTTGCTTCCCGGTGATGGGGAAGGGGGGGGGGGAGCCACGGACGGGAGCGCGAGGCAGCCGGCTGCGCATCTGTGCACATGCGCAGTTTGGCTGGGAGCCTCGATTGCTCCTGTAGACGGGTGCGCCGGCGATCCGACGGCCACGCTTGATGCAGCGTGTCAGGTTGGTTCTACCTTTTACTAGGTTTATTTTTAGTGCGTATTTTAGGCCTAAATGGACGGATCGGGGACGGGTGCATGCTGATTCCCAGATGTTGCGGTGAGATCGCGCCCGTTTGCTGCGTCCCTGATCCGTCCCTCTTCTGGCCCAACACCTCCCGTGTGACTGGGGCCGTAGTCAACTAAGAAAGAAAGTTACAGGTTGCAACTGGGCAACGGGAAATTGGAAGCACAGCATAGACGTACTTTCCTTAACTTGATAAACAGCCCTTGATAAGGTCTGTAAATGTTTCACTGTAGAAATAGCCGGTTGGTATCAAGATTAGCTTGTTATGGAATCTCTCCCAAGAGCTCAGAACTTTGACTAGGCCATGTATGCCTTTTTTTAGTCACAATTCTGACAAGTCACAGTTCTGCAAAGCCAAATTCTGAACAAATTAAATAGTTTGCATGCACTTACACTCGTATTTGTTTATTTTGTATGGTTTTATTCAGCTTCTGGAAGTTCCACCCAATATCCATAACCTGATAAACACCAACTAGAGGCCTGCAGGATTTGATTTGCCACGTAAAGTATGGAAGACGGCTAACAGAGTACGAACAGGCTTTGGCAGTTGTGCAGACCTGTTGTTTAAATGGGGCTAAATACCGGGACCCAAATGCGATTGTGGTGCAGCCCGCCAAACTATTTTCCATCTGTCACAGGAATGTGAGCATCGTGCTTTCCAGGGAGATGTGACAGAGCTGTTTGAACTCTCCCCAACTGAGACTGAGTGGATTGAAAATTTAGATATTAGTATTTAGTGAGATTTCTCAATTGGTCTGCATACCCGTTGTATCAACTTGGATATGTATTTTATATTATTATATGCTTCCTGTGTGTAACTCTGCCATATAATAAATAAACAAATAAGTCCTCCTCACTCCCTCCACTGATGCTTAAGCTTTCACTGGGCATTGCTTTCATCTTTTCAAAGCTATCTCAGCAGCCATTCAGCTTTGGAAATGGGCTTGCAAATAAATGCTTGCCTGTGGCAGGTAAGGATCCCCTCCAGATAACCAGGAAGGAAATTCTTTGTCACTGGGAAGATGGAATTCCTTATTTACCTTGACCCTTAAGGACAAGCTACATGATGTTTTTGTACCTTTTCAAATGCAGAAGTGTTTTCTGGGGAAGGAAACAAGTAGGAGTAAAAGTCTGGGCAAGTAGGCCTCTTGTGTGCTTGAATCAAGATCCTAAAGGACACTTTTCCTCCCTGAAAAGCACTTCTATGAACATAAGAGAAGCCATGTTGGATCAGGCCACTGGCCCATCCAGTCCAACACTCTGTGTTACACAGTGGCCAAAACCCAGGTGCCATCAGGAGCAGGGCCAGAACCCTCCCACTGATGCCCCCCCAAGCACCAAGAATACAGAGCATCACTGCCCCAGACAGAATGTTCCATGTGCACGTAGTGGCTAATAGCTATCCATGGACCTCTGCTCCATATGATTATCCAATCCCCTCTTGAAGCTGTCTATGCTTACAACCACCCCCACTTCCTGCAGGAGTGAATTCCACATGTTAATTACTCTTTGGGTGAAGAAGTACATCCTTTTATCTGCTCATCAATTTCATTGAGTGTCCACAAGTTGTTGAATTGTGAGAAAGGGAGTGACCACGAGTTCTTGTATTGTGTCAAAGGGAGTGCCCACGAGTTCTTGTATTGTGTCAAAGGGAGTGCCCACGAGTTCTTGTATTGTGTCAAAGGGAGTGCCCACGAGTTCTTGTATTGTGTCAAAGGGAGAAAAGGACTTCTTTCTCTGCCTTCTCTATCCCATGCGTTATTTTGTAAACCTCTATCATGTCACAAAAACTATATGCTACAAGTCTCAACACTGGTAGAAGCAGAGCCTGCTGTGTAGTAACCCCCCCCCCCCCAAAAAATCGAGTTCCTTATCCCACAAGTTTCAATTGGCTACATCTATTTTAAATTTTAGGAGGGAGGATGGCATGGTACAGCCCAATCTCAGCAGCTCTCAGACGCTAAGCCGGGTCAGTGGATGGGAGACCACCAAAAAGACTCTGCAGAGGAAGGCAACGGCCAACTACCTCTGCTTCTCACTTGCCTTGAAAGCACCTTGCCAGGATTGCCTTACATGCGTATTTTAAATTTTACAAAGCAAGCAGTTCATCTTGCTATTTTTTAGGATTTGTGGTACCTCTAAGACTAACAGTGATGTTCCACCATACATTTTTGCGGACAAAAGTGATACACTGGAATAATGGTTTATTAGTCTCTAAGGAACCACTAGACACCCATTTAGTTTTTGCTACAACACATGAACTCCTCTGCTTTTATAAATAGCATTAGTTGCCGCTGTTATTTTTACAAACTGCATTGCCTCAGATATCTCACAGTCCATATTTTACTGTTTTAGCTGTGAGCTTTTAAAGCGCTAACCACTCTGGCAGCTCCCTGAGCCAGAAAGCAAGTTGCAAATGAAGCCAGGCCACAATCTGATGTGTCCTTACTTGGAAGTAAGTCCCACCAGAGTGGCAAGGATTACACAACAATGAAACATGAAGTGGGCACACACGAGGGAGCAGGGTTGTAGTCCCATACACAACATGAAGAACCAACAAAACACATGCATATAGAATAAACACAGGTATCTGCAGAAGAGAGATTATATGCGATTATCCCCTTTTTTAGGATACACACCCGTTCACACCTTCTCCTTACACGGAAGTGTATTCCATGGGGACAATGCAGAACGTGTGAATTGGCACCAAAACTATTAATAATCAGGAATCATTATCAGTTGGGGGAGAGGGTAGGATGCGTACCAAGGGGCGAAAATGCACAATGGTCCTCAGCCCCTCGAGGGTACAATGGGAATGTTGGGGGTCAGGAGGATCCAAGAAGGGATGAGGAAGTAACAGGCGCGGCGGGTGTGGGGGCAGGGAGGAGCTGTCAAGACACTCACTGCATTGTGTCAGGCGCTGTACGTTGGCGCTGCAGGTCTGGATAATGCTGCTGAAGTCCCGAGGCGGGGCCGGCACCCCACCGGGCCGGTAAGTCTCTAGCGGACCGTACGACATCTTTTTTTTAAAAAGCGGATCCCGGAAAGCGAGAAATAAATCAGCACAGTCGGGCCGGGCCGGTGATGATAATGATGCCGCCGCCTTAATCACCACGCATGCGCAGTTCTGACGAGCCCTGCTTCAGCCGTCCCTTGGCTGCGCATGCGTGCAAGGACCCCGAGATGACAGATCCGCTTCTTGTCCTTGCTGTAGACGCCCGCTGAGTACGGTTGAGAAGCGCATGAGCAAGCACGCCCCCCCCCAGGGGATGGAAATGAGGGTGGTTGTCATGGCGACAGGAGGCCGTTCTGCGAATGGCCGGGCCTAGGGTTGCCAGCCTCCAGGTGGGGCCTGGAGATCCCCCGGAATTATAATTGATCCCCAGGCAATACAGATCATTTCTCCTGGAGAAAATGGCTGCTATGGTGGGTAGACTCTATGGCCTTGTGCCCTGCTGAGGTCCCTCCCCTCCCCAATCCCCTCCTACCCCAGGCTCCACCCCCAAATTCTCCAGGTGTTTCCCAACCCAGAGCTGGCAACCCTAGCCGGGCCTAATTCAGATAGGGTGCTGTTCCAAGGTCCCGTCAAGTGGTGAAAGCCAAGTGGTAGAAGCGCCAGTCGTCTTATTTAGTTGTTTGTTCAGTACACATCTGTATCCCATCCTCCAAGGAACTCAGGGCTGTGTTCATCCCTCTCCCCTCCTCCATTTTATCTTTACAACAACCCTGTGAGGTAAACTAGGCTGGCAAAGATTGGCAAGCGCTTTAGGGTGCTGAAGAAATGGCACTCAAGAGTCTTGTTATGGTGCTTTGAGGAATCACAATTTTAATGGTGTTGTTGTTGTTTTAAAGAGGTGCCAGAATTCTCAAGAGGGATTCTGTTGTGGAGTGAGGATTCAAACCTGGGTCTCCCAGACGCTAGTCCAACACTGACCACTACACCACACTGGATCTCAGATTATGTTGGATAATTTGAAAATGTGGGATATAACAAAGTAGGGCTGGGGGCAATGGTTCATATTGGATTTTCTGTCACGTGCATAACATTTTTATTTTATTTAGAAAATGTCTGTGCTTGATGCTGTTCCTACAATCAGAGGGTAGATGTGTGCATTATACCTAGGGTTGCCAAATCAGTTCACCTGGAGAACATGCCCACTTTGAAAGGTGCACTCTGGGGCACTGTAGTCCCTCCCCTTCCCAACCCCCCCACACTCCTCAGTTTCCACCCCCAGAATCTCCAGGCATTTCCCAATGCAGAGCTGACAACCCTAATTATATCCAAATGTATTTTCTAAAAAAGAAGACATTTATTGATCAAAAAGAGGCATACGATAACCAGAAATATTTCAAACCATGAGTTCTCACTTGCTGACAGTTTATAGACTATTCACTGTTAAAAGCACATGTAGCAGTGTTAAGAGCAGTGAAACCAGAGATGGTTGTTTTTTTAATTAAGACTTTTATTGTTTTCACACACAAAAAGTTAGCAGGGTAAGCAGGCCCCATATAGCCCACCCCCCTCCCCATATGTGTTCTATTAGCAGAGAGAGAGAGAGAGAGAGAGAGAATATGTAGGGCAGGAGTGTCAGTTAGGAAAGTAAGGTGCAACATTATGGATTCAATTAAACAGGGAATAAAGGTGAGGAGATATCATTGCTCAAATAGGTACAAGAATTCATGCCAAATGGAGGTGAAGGTTCCGGGAGCTTCTCACCTCTTGTTTGTACAAAGGTCTAACATATCATTGACCCAGAGATCTATAGAGGAAGATACTTGAGATTTCCAGTACTGTAAAATTATTCACTTAGCAACTAAAGCTGCCTTTTGGATCCAAAACGTGGTATTTGGAGAGCACCCATGGAGTTGGTATGTATCCTAAGACTAGATTAGTGGCTGTGAAGACTAAATTAACAGCTAATGTGAAATTGATCCTGGATATAACCTCCTGCCAGAAATGGGTGATTTTAGAGCAATTCTAAAAACATATGAACGAGGTTAGCTCCAGGCTTCGGGCAGTACAAGCAGGAATCATTCCCAGTGAGACCAATGTAATAGAATTTATTAGGGTACCAGTACACTTGCAAGAGAGTTTTTTGATGGATAAGCCTTAGTCGTAAATCTAGAGAGGCGGATTTAATGGCTTTTAGTGCAGTTTGCCATTGGATCGGTTGAACTGGAGTACTCAGTTCTAGTTTCCACTTCAGAGTTTGTTTAGTGCACCTCACGTGGTGTCTGTTGTGGGGAGGGAAAGGAAAAGGGATTGTAAACCACTCTGAGACTCCTTTGGGTAGTGAAGGGTGGGGTATAAATCCAATCTCCTCCTCCTCCTCCTCCTCCTCCTCTGAGTATGGAGAGGAAATGAAACAATGGAAATGAAATGACGTATCCTTGCCCCAAAGGAACATGTAACACCTTCTGACAAGTGGAAATCCTGCTTTAGATAAAAGTGGGAACACTTAGTCCAAGTGAAGATCAAGAGGAAATGGGAGTTATCGGATTGTGAAGGTGGATTGCCTATGGTGCGCCTGCCACAGTTTATTTACTATATATTTATTTATTTGCTTTATTTATATCTCACCTTCCTCCCCAATGGGGACCCAGAGGCGTTTAGATTGTTTTCATCTCCTCAGTTTTATCCTCACAGCAGCCCTGTGAGGTAGGTTAGGCTGCGAGTGTGTGACTGGCCCAAGGTCACCCAGTGAACTTCCATGGCAGAGTAGGATTTGATCCTAGTCCAATAGTTTAGCCACTACACTGCATTGGCTCTCCAAGTTCCTGGGACATTCTTCAAAGTGGAGGATGACCCGGGCACATGTACAATGCAAACACTTCCCTAGGTATAATTTGCCTGATGATGCTGTTTATCACAAACCTGATGTTTAAAAAGCAATGCAACGGATTCCAGGTATAATATAATGAAAATGCCATTGGAGTTTGATGACGCATCCAAGAGGACCCCACTTCAGAAAGGGTTTCATTTCAGCCTTGTACGTGGCTGATGAGATTCCACATCCTCTCCCTTTCCTCCAGGCTAATGATGTTGCCATCGCAAAAGAGGGGAGGGGGCAAAAGGGATCTTTTTGTTCCTTTTCTGTCTTCTATAGTGAGAGATTTGATGAGATGACAATCAGAAAGGCCTTGTGAGACGAGCCGGCTTTCTTGTGCAAATGTTCAGCCTTGATAATTTTTGCCTGTATTGTTGTCTGATTTCGCAGAAGTAACGTTGTCTCTGGATGCCTTTGTACACCCACCCCCCTCTGAGCCCACAGCAAGACAACTCCCATCTTAAGAAGCTCGCCGTCCTTCATTCAAAAGAACATTAGTTTGGCATGATAAGCAAATAGAATGAATAGCTTTCAGTATTCATATTGTTGATAATTTCTATTGTGCAGTGACATCCTGTATAATTGGGACTAAGAGCAATTGTAAGAGGAAAAAGTCCTATTAAAAATATCAAATGAAAAATATTTTTTTTGTGATAAAGCTCTAAGCACCATCTAAACAACAACAGTAATTGGGTTTTCAAATTTTGGAACACAATGTTGGTTTCTGATTGTTCATGTTCAGGGTAGATTTCTACTTTTCACGTGTCTAGAGTGTGGGGAAATGACAATATTTTGTTGAAAAGACTTTTAAATATTCCTTTAAAAATCAAATATTAGAACTTGTGAAGATAAGATTGCAAATTGTAAAGTTTGAGGGTCTCATTTGGTTTTTTTTTAGAAAACTGGGGAAAATGTGGGGTTTTCCTCAAATTTTCTAGGAATGGGCCCAGTTAGAAATGTTCTTTTTGTAAAATGTACTCAGTGTTTTACTGTACATTTTATAGACTAATATTTTTACTTGGTAGCCATCTTTTACCCATTGTACTGGGTTGTGATGTGCAGACTGCTAAGCAGGTCAGTGCTTAATCTTGGATCTGATAATCAAATGTCATAGGGTTCCCTGTGTCACACCTACACAGGCAGTCAAGGTCCCTGTGATGAAGGCCAAGGCAACAGATGTTCATATTTGGGTTGGGGGGAGAAAAAGAGAAGACTGCCTGACCCCGACTCTTGACCCTACTGGTTGCAAGATTCAAATAACAGGAAGTGGGCTGCACGTCCTTCAGGTCCGCTTGTGGCTTTCTCACTGTTTCAGAAATTTAACTTTGTGCCTGTGTGTGTGTGTGTACAGGTTTGTTTTTTGGAGCTGTCTAATAGGATGCATGCATATGTGTATGAAAAAGAGGAAAATGTGGCTGGGTGCTTTGCTAGCAGCGGCAGGAGGAAGCAGCAGTGCAGGGAACAGCAGAGGGCTTTCTATCCTGGTTGACTTTCCTTGCAGGCCACTTTCTCAACCCCTTCTGTTAGCCAGAAAGCATCCTTCTGCTGCTATAAGCATCCCATGGCAGGTATTAATTAATTAATTTGCTTATTTATTCATTTATACCCCGCCTTTCTCCCCAATGGGGCACCAAAGCAGCTTACATCATTCTCCTCTCCTCCATTTTATCCTCACAACGACCCTGTGAGGTAGGTTAGGCTGAGAGAGCGTGACTGGACCAAGGTCACCCCGCAAGCTTCCATGGCAGAGTGGGGATTCAAACCTGGATCTTCCAGATACTAGTCCGACACTCTTGACCACAACACCACAGCGGCTCTTCTAGCCTGTAAGGCTCTCAGGCCAGCTTCACCGATGGGAGGAACAAGGAGATCAGACTGCAGGTGGAGAATCATGGAAGGTCACATCTGGAATGTTTCCTATTAAAAAATATCCCTGTAAATGGAAAACCAACACTTCTCTTCCTGCTGTGCTAGCACAGGATTAAAAAAATTAAAACATAATGTAGGAGCATTCAAGATAGGATCTACCACATCACCTGTGGTTTGACCCTTAATGGCACAGCTGAATGGTTACACAGCACCCTTTGCAAAGTAATAATTCCCAAGGGGTTGCCCTGTCTATCAAAGCAATAATACACAGAAAACTTCAGGCACCTTAAAGAGTTACCAGATTTTAATTCAGCATAAGTGTTCATGGACTGGCACCCACTTCATCATGTGCTGTGAGTGGAATAGAAGAGGACTTTAGTCTGCATATGCTGGAATAAAATCTTGTTAGGCT